TAGTCTGTGTCCCAGTTAGTTGACCAGGTGGGTGGATTTGCTTAACTGACAGATTGGAGACATGCAGAGCCCAGGCATGTTTCATGATGATTTATTTAAATTCATTTTTTAAAATAAGGGAAGAATTCATTGCCATCAGCATATGACCTGGCTCCTGGAGGTGAGTATTCCAGCTGCAAGAGTGCCAATTAGAGTGACTCAACAGACCATGACTCATACAGATGTGGTCAAACATCCTGTGTCCTTGAAATCAAGTTTCCCTATATTTAATGGATGACTTTTTAAAAACACCCTGATTTGAATACATGTATGTGTGTGTGGCGATACTGGAGGAGGGTTATTCATTTTACTCATCATATGGTCACATTACCCCCACCTCCAATTTTTAATGACAGGCACCAAGCCCTGTGAGGTATTTGAAATTTCACTCTATTTTCGAGCAAGCTTCAAGTTAGCCAGCCACAGTGTCACAGATGCGCCAGAAGACACAAGACTCGTAGATCAGAGAGAAAGGGCTTCATTACTCACAACAAATAGCAGTAGCTAGATAATCTGTGCTTACGCCGGTTCCCTGAGCTCCAGTTCCCCCTGGGCAACGTGGAGAGAGCTGGGTGACCCTTGAGCGCAGTGCAGCAGGCTGAACTGCAGAAGGACCCTGAGCTTAGAGAATCCTCATCTTTCGTAGCGGACATGTAACCACAGGAGTTCTAGTGTACCTCCCCAATCTCCTGCAACTTGGGTAAAGTAGTTGTTGTCTGTCACATCCGACTCAAGCAAGAAAATACAACACACTGGATGCAGTGGGAAGGGGAGTGGAAGTGAGCTTTGTTAGGGCTTTCTGTGTGCCAGGCACTCTGTTACGTATTTTGTGCTTCGTTCTCACAAGGATTCTGTGAGCCCTGCATTGCTCTTCCCATTTTATGGATAAGAGAATAAAGGCTTAGGCAAGAGTCATTTCCAAAGTTCATACAACTAATAAGTGGCAGAGCTGGCGTTCTTACCCAGCTCTGTCTGACTGCCAAGTACACACTCATTCCAGTAAATCAGATTGCCCCTGTTTGTGAATACTGCTCACTCTCTTACATCCATTATGGTTTTGCAAAAGCCCATGAGGTTGCTATAAAAAAATATGTCATGTATTGGTACTGATGTTTCTTAAAAGAGCTTCAGTTTCTCTTTCTCCCAAGTCTTGAAAATCATGTCTGACCTCCTACATGTGTGTGTGTGTACATGTGTATGTGTGTGTGTGGTATGTGTGTGTATGTGTGTGTGTTGTGTATGTGTTCTGTGTGTATGTGTGTGTGTGTGTGTGTGTATCTGTAATAGCTCAGCCAGAGGCCATAGTACTTTCTCGCCTAGGACACATAATACGTCTAATGCTACACGGTGACTAGGCAATTTTATTACCCTATTTTCCTGAATGTTCTTTAATGAATCCGTAAATTTAGAGGCCAGCTCAGTAAATCAGAGGACTTCCTTTAAATGTTTTTCATAACTGACACCTTTTTAATGTACTTTCATGTGGGAATTTGAGGAGCAACAGCTACACTATTAAAGAGACTAGACACATGTTGTTTCTCATTGTTTTAATTTAATTTTGTTTTAAATCCAATAATAATCTGTAATGAGATAAAATGAACCACATTCTTTCAGGTGAGCTGGCTACATGCTCTTTGAGGAGCATTTGGTTCTACATTTAGTAAATAACTGCTATGGAATGCTGAGGACCACTTATGAAAGTCAACACCAACTGAAATTAATTTAATCTTTGAAAAATTGGGTATTGAGATGATTTAGGTAAAATTGACTTTAGTGAATGGCATGAAGTTTGTGTGAAATCTGAAAAACCAGATGCTTTACCTACACTGATGTAGTCTATCAGACAGCTACTCAACCCTACACACTCTTTTGTCTGTATGGTCTTTTTATTCTGATTGAAGTATAGTCAGTTTACAATGTTGTGTCAATTTCTGGTGTACAGCATAATAGTTCAGTCATACATAGGCATACATACATTCATTTTCATATTCTTTTTCATTATAGGTTACTAAAAGATATTGAATATAGTTCCCTGTGCTATCCAGTATGAACTTGTTGTTTCTCTATTTTATACATAGTAGTTAGTATCTGCAAATCTCGAACTCCCAATTTATCCCTTCCCACTCCTTTCCCCACTAGTAACCATAAGTTTGTTTTCTGTCTGTGAGTCTGTTTCTGTTTTGTAAATAAGTTCATTTGTCTTTTTTTTTTTAAGATTCCACATGTAAGTGATATCATATGGTATTTTTCTTTCTCTTTCTGGCTTACCTCACTTAGAATGACAATCTCCAGTTTCATCCATGTTGCTGCAAATGGCATTATTTTATTATTTTTTAGGACTGAGTAGTATTCCATTGTATAGCCCTTTTAATAAACATGAATTATAATTGCAGTGGGAAAAAAAAGTCAACACCAACCCCACTGATAGACCAGAAATGTCTGTTACTCCTTTGAAAGAAGGCATCAAAAGTTACCTTTCAAATACATTTTTTAAGGGAAATCTAATATCAGCTGTTATTGTCTTACTTCAAAATGGCTTATAATAGCTGGCAAGAGGCCAGGGGAGGGCAAAAAAGGACAGCCATGTGTGCTGTTAAGGAGGGGAACGGGAGTGACAAGACAGTCCCGGATGGGGTATCAGAATAGGGATGAAGTGAGTAGGATCAAGGCTCTAGGTTTCTGGGAGATTGTTGGTGATGGGGCGGGGCTGAGATGGCTAGTCTAAAAGGGAAGCCAGAGAAAAACACATGAGGAAGACACTTTTCCCTACTTTGTAAGTTTATGTAATTTGGAGGTTGACACACTGGTATGATAACTTATTTTATAGCACCTAGTCTAATGTCTTCTATAAATAAAAAAGATTAATTTAATAGACAGTATCGAGATGACCATTTAGAAGCTTTTACCTCCCTAAGTATGATTCTGCAGTTGGGAAATATAAATGCTTTGGGTATTTGGCCTGACGTGCCTTTATTTATTTTGCATGGATCATTGCAACAGAAATGCATGTATTTGCTAAATAATAAGAACTCCATCTGAAGTCTTTCAAGAAACATTTTGAACTTGTATTCATTGAAGTAGAATTGCTAGTACACCCAGATTTGCAGGAAATTATGGAGGAGAACTTATGAAATACTTCAAGAAGTTTATTTATGTTGAAAGTTATCCCAGACTACAAAGTCCTGTGTTGCTCTGTGATCCTGTTTTGCCAAAGGCAAATCAGCTTCTGAACGTAGATGGGAAGTATTCTGACCAATAATACAAATTTGTGTCTTTAGTAAGAAGTCTTACCTTGAGCTCCAATGTTCTTTGATGACTAAATCTAGATATAGCAGCTTTAAAATGTGGGAGTCATGTATGGGATAATGATCAGCTCACACTGTATTATGATTATGCTGCTAAATGCCCACATGAGTCAAGAAACATAGGTTGAGAACAGGCATATTATGGTGCTACAGGGAGCAATGATGTCTAAGAAGCACTCACTATTTTCCTTAGTGCATAATTCTCCTGCAAGTTCTAATATTTCAAATGAAAGTAGGAGGGATGTGTGTGTGCGTGCGTGTGTGCATGTGTGTGTGTGTAGAAGGTGAGAGGAGAGAGAATGATGTTATTATTCCAAGACATGAAGTTTTTGTTTCTTTTTAACATTTCTGATGATCAGTTTTCCTTGACTATCAATGTGTCCGTTAAATTCGATAGCACTTCTTTCCTCACAAAAAGCTGTTATTAAATCATGGTGCATGTTACAGTCAATGGCATCATAGAATTGAGGATGTTTATATATAATATCAGTAGCCCCTTGATATTATATATAAATATCTCTTATATAAGATTATATGTAATATCTTTCCTCCCTGCACTTTGATTAAAGTAACCTTGTTTTCTAACCTTGTTTTATAGCACCGAATAGGAATTTAGTGGTGGAGGAGAGGGCGGCATTCAGCTCAAGCAAGGAATCCAAGCAAGTTATGTCGCAGGCGTGTACACTGGAGAAGAAGGAAGCAGTGGAGGAAGATGAAGTTCCCCAACCCAGGGATGCTGACACAGAGGAAATAGGGGACATGGTGCAGTGGGAGAAAGCAGGGGCTAGTGAGAGTCCCCTGGGGCAGTGGAAGCCAACAGCAGAGCGGCCAGCATTAGTAGAACAGTTTATGGAGGAAAGAGACATCCCTGAGGGCAGGGCAGGTGGGGCTGAGGTGGAAGCAGATGGGGATGGAAGGCTGGATAAAGAGGGGTTAAGCCCCAGAGGGCGAGAAGCAGCAAGAGGCTCTGCAGGCCTGGAGGAAGGCGCGGCCCCGGAGGAGCAGGCGTGGAGGCAGACAGCGCTGGAGACAGAGAAGGCATCTTCTGAAGGGGAGCAGGTTTGGGGGAAGGCCGTGCTCACAAGCGAGGCAGCAGCAATGACCTTAGAGCCTGTCCAGGAGGCAGCAGCCCCCAGAGAGGCGGCGAGGCCGGAGAAAGAGGAGTCTGAGAGAGGGGAGGCTGTGAGTGAGGCCGGGTCTGAAAAGCCAGGTGTGGAGGACAGCGAAGAGGAAGTGTCCACAGACCTAGAGGACGTGGGACCCGTGGAAGACGCTGCATCCGAGAGACAGGATGGTTTAGAAGAGGCAGTACTCAGGGGGAAGGCATCGACCAGAGAGACGAAGGCCGTTAGGGGCACGGGAACATCTGGGAGCTCCTGGACCTGCGAGAAAGCCCAGGCAACTCGGATGGGCCTTTCGGAGCACAGCCTGGAAGAACTTTGTAAGCATGATGTGGGAAGGGAGGAGGCGCGGCCCGAGGCAGAATCTAGCAAGGAGGATGACGCGGAAGACCTGTTACCCGAGGAATTAGACGTAGCGGGGGAGAGGAGGAAAGCTGAGAGGCCGAAAACGCCGCCGGGGGGAGTGGAACCTGAGAGAGAAGAGGCGACCCGGGCCCGGGCGCTTCAGGATGGAGGCACTTCAGAAGGAGAGCAAAAGTTGAAAGGGGAAGAAGGGGGACCCGCGAAGGAAGCAGGACCCCGAGGAGGAGACGCAGCCCCCCCGGGATGGAGTAGGATGTCACGCTGCGGATGAAGCAGCCCCGGGGGCACCTGAGCGAACGGAAGACACACGGCCCCAGGGAGAAGAGCCACTGGGAGGGAGAGAGGCGACCATGTTTGAAGCAGCCCCTGGATGGGAAAACGTCATGGTTCTGAGGAAAGAGGGAGAAGGGGACAGACTGGGAGGAGCCCGAGACGCAGAGCGCAGAGGCAGAGCAC